TCCATTCCTCAGTTGATGGACACCTAGGTTGTTTCCATCTTTTGGCTATTGTAAATAGTGCTGTGATGAACGTGGGTGTGCATATGTCTGTTCTTATCCTGACTCTCACTTCTTTAGGATATATATCTAGTAATGGAATGGCTGGATCAAATGATATTTCTAATTCTAACTTTTTAAAGAATCATCATACTGCTTTCCACAGTGGTTGTACCATTTCACAGTCCCACCAGCAGTTTATGAGGCATTTGTGTTATGTTCTTGTCAGAGCGGCACTAGGTAATCAGAACAGTAGGTTAAGTTACTCCGTGGCATCTCTATATCTTAAAGTTCCTTAAAGCAAGTTATTCTCTCACAAGCCACAAAGTGAAGCTATTGCCACAAAGGTTCGGTGCTCCGGGCAGGTGTATGTTCCCATTATGCAGCCTGGTCATTTGAGAAAGCTCCAGACAGCACCTGTCACCAGGCAAACTAAAAATGTTGGACGAGCCCTCTAGCAAGGTGGCCATGTGATAAGGAACGCCTGTTGTTGTTGTTGTTATGTGCCATCGAGTTGGCCCCGACTCCTAGTGACCCCTCCTTTGGTTTCCGAGGCAGTATCACTACGGAAGTAGGATTGCCCAACCTTCCTTCCGAGGAGTGGCTGGTGGGTTTGACCGCCAGCCTTCTGGTTAGCAGTCAAATGTCTTAGTCACTACGCTACCAGAGCTCCTAAGGAATGCCTGGCCTGAAGGAAATAGGGACAGGAGGCAAGGAGGAAGGCAGAATGAGGAGAAGGGAATGGCAAAGGCTTCCTCTCCAGCATATGCCACTGTGTCCAACCACATGTTCTCATCTCAGCCTGCTTTCTCAGCCCGCTTTCCCAGCCCTGTGTTGGATTCTGCACAGAATCTTACTATAGCTACTCACAGTGGGGTGACAGCTGAGTCCCCCAGGGGGCCTTTGAGCCCTGTTGTGGTCTGAGACCTAAAGTCAGAGATGGAAGCATGCTTTCTCCTGGTTGGCTTCAGTTCAGGTTCCAGAACACACTCCATCAGTAACAAAGCCCGCCCCTGTGTGTCCAAGACAGCTGTCTCTAACCCATCACCCCTTCTCAGGATGACAAGGGTAACCCTGAAATTGCAGGTTGAGGGGGGCCCTGAAGCTGACCCACACCTTCGCTCATCCCCTCAACTCCCACCTGGTCCCCTATCATCCCTTTCCAAACTTGCACTGCCTGGCAGCTACTCTGCCTTGGCCTCTGTTGCCATGGTAACACTGTGGCTTCCCCCAAGTGGGAAGCCGGTTGCCAAGGCCCTTGTTGCCAAAGACTGTAACAGCTATCATCTACCACCCCAGTGTGTGAAGAGGGGGTGAGAGCTCTGTGAGGGGTGGAGGGTGGCCAAGGAGGCTGGGGAGGGAAGGAAGCAGGGGGTCTTAATAAATGGAGAGGTCCAGATAAGCTCCAAGCTGGGATGAGGAGGTGCTAGGTCCCTGTAGGAGGGGAAATGCATGCCATAGCAACAGCTCCTCTGGGGGTCTTGGAGAGAAGAAAGAGGACCGCCCACAGAACATACCTGGGCAAATCCTCTACCAAGCAGAACTGGATGCTCTAAGCTCCCCACCCAATACACACGCCCCCAAGGAGAAATATCTTTGATTCTTCTCCCCAAGTTCAGAAAAACAGCCTCCAGGAATCTCTCAGTCTTGCTTGCTTCCCAGTCCCAGTCACGCACGCACACTCAAGCTAGGCCCAGACAGAACCAGGCTCCGCTGCCAGGAACAAGCATTAATTACAAGGCTTGTAAACCCTCCACAGGTTCCTATCCCTTGGCCTGTCTCAGAGCACATACTTAATAGTCCTTATCAAATGCTTCTCTTTGGAGCAAAGCACCCATCTCTACTGACAAGGAGAGAGCTGGGCACCATCAGGGCTAATTCTCCGTCTTCAGGGATGCTATAGAGCTGCTCATCCCACCTGCAGGGAGCACAAGGCCAGCCCAGGCTTCTCCCGGGACCCGCACTAAGATTAACAGACCACAGATCCTAGGTGCAGCCACTGCTCAGCCTGGGCACCCAGAGGAAAGAGCCTGGTCCCTCCAGAGCCCCTGCATCCTGCTAAGAAGAAGTACTGAAAGGGAAAGCTGAGAGAGGAGGTGAGTTCGTCCAGGAGGCACAGGGAGCAGATGGGTGGAGAGGAAGGAGACATGGTGCAGGGGAGGCAGAGGGAGCAGCAGGAGGTGGGAGAGGGGAGCCTGAGTCCCCGAAGCCTGAAGGGGCCCAGGACTGGGGAGACACTCGGGCACCAGGAGCAGCCAGGTCCACATTTCTCCAAGCACCCGCCTCAACACAGACCTCCAGGCAGAGACTGGCCCATGACACCTGTGTGTCACCCTACCCACCCCTCACCCCAAAGCTCAGAAGGTAAAGCAGGTGTACCTACCCCAGGTGCCAGCCCCTCAGGTGGGGTGGGGGAGATTCTGTCCCCACTGCTCTGGCTGCGGGCGCTGAGCTGGGGCGACATGGTGGGCGACTCGTCGATGTATGGCATGGTCTCCGAGCCCTCTGGGGGCCCCTTCTGCTCCTCATTCCCCTCTGCGTCGTAGTCGTCTGCCCCGTAGCTAAAGTCTGAGACAAGGAACAAGAAAGGCCACTGAGAATCCTCCACGAGGGCTGCCAGGGACTGGTAGCGCAGTGGGCGCCGGCGGCGGCCCCCAGCTGCCATGGCTCTGGCTGCACCATCCACGGCCCAGGCAGGGGCTACGCAAGGGCTTGGGCCTCGGGCAGGGCTGGTGAGTGCCCGCAGGCACCGGGCTTTGCACGTTCAGTGGCTGCTGGGAGTCGGGGAGGAGCACACTGCTGTTGCCACCCGCTTAATAGCATGTCAGTCGCGTTTTCCGAGCTGCTGTTTCCTTTGCCTCCTGCCTAATTCCAAGTCTAAAAATTAACAGTGGGAGCAGGAGGCAGGACGCTTCCAACTCTCCTCTCTGAGTCACCATTTTGCTTTTTATAGGGAATAAGGAGGTGGAGGCGGGCCAAGCGATGTCACTTCCTGAGCCCCTCCTCCTTGGGTACCATTTGTACACAGAGCCCAATTCCTGTAGGGGAGCTAGAGCAGGTTTTGGGGTGGGGGTTGAAAGACTGCACCCAAGAGAGCCCTGAGCCCTCCAAACATGGCCCTGTGCAGGACCGAGCGCAAGGCTGGCAGAGCGTGGGTGGGGAGGCCGGCCGAGGCCTGGCAGGGACTCCGTGCAACAGCAGACTTCTCAGAACCCAGCATTTATTTCTGTAATTTCAATGCAGGCTTCCTTCAGAGAAGGAGGGAAGAGAAGGCAACAGGGAAGTCGAGCTGCCTTAACCACCTTGGTGCTTCCAGTACCGCTCAGCCTCCTGAGCCTACGCACAGATAGCCCTCGGGGGGTAGGCAGCAGGCTGGGCCCTGGGGGTGGGGGTGCAGAGGGAATGCCTCATCCCTGAAAGGCCCTGGGTCAAGCCCCCCGGGCATGGGTCTTCTCTCCTGCAGCGGCGTGAGCAACCCTCCCCATCGCCTATACCCCATGGCATGTTAGCCTCCAGCAGCCTTGGTCTACCCTGACCACGAATGGAAAGGCATGGCAGTGCCAATTCCAGGGGTCTGGTCTTGAGAGCTTCCGTGACTGTGACTCTCTCACCCCCACTCATCCCAGAGCAGGCATTAAGCCTCAACTCAGAACCACGTGTGGAGTCTGGTGGGAGCCAGGCACCATGCCACGGACTGGAGACACACTGGTCCCAAGACCAGCCCGCTGGACCCCACAGCAGCCTGCAGCCAGGTGGAGGCAGCGGCATTCTTATACCCTCTAGCAATGCTCAGCAGCCATGCCCATTTGCTAAATATTCCTGGAGTGTCTCTGGGAGTTAGGTCCTGGTGCGGGCCTCTTGGGAACTTGCCCAGTATGATGGAGGAGGCTGGCTGGGTCCAGCCCAAATGCATACAATCTACCTGTCCCGTCACCTGCTCAGACACCACTTCCTTCAGGTTGTCCTCCCGAACCTGACCACGTCAGACACTCTGGCTAAGAACTGACTGCCCATGGCTTTGCTGACCTGTCCCTTTGTTCCTGAGCCCCTAGGGCAGGAAGAGGGCATCTCAGTCATCACCGTGTGCCCAACACCCACAGGCCTGGTGTGTGTTCTCTGGAAATGCGTGTGGAGTAAATGAATGAGTGGAGGAATGCATGGTCAGGTTCAGATCAGACAAGCCAGGCCCCAGAGAGCCAAGTTCTCTGTGAGGGCCTGGCTTGCTCTTTGATACACACATCAGCCCCTGGGCAACTGGCAGGATGAGAATGGTGTCAGCGGGTCACTAGGGTGCCCAGCCATGGCCACATTCTGGCCAATCTGGCCCTTTGGCAGCCGAGAGCCTCCACCAGCATCACTGCACCTGCTCCTGCTGACTTCTTCTCCCAGGCCCTGTGATAACACCCCATTAAGCTGTCAGGGAACACGGACTATTGTTCCCCTTGAAACAGGCATGCACAGAAGAACCCCAGCCACTGGGATGCGTGTATGTCACACACACTGGAAACAGGGCCAATGTCCTGAAGGCCACCAGGCCTGCAACTGGGGCTGTCAGGGGCTGAACTGTTTCTGGAATTCCAGGCAATGGCAGAAGAGCAGCAGCATGTGGCCCACCATGAAGGACCCAGCTGTTTGGTGGACCTACTCACTTGGGAAGGAGCCTGGGTGGTGCAAACAGTTTGTGCTCAGATTATCAGCCCAAAGGTTGACAGTTCAAACCTACTCAGTGGTGCTGCAGAAGAAAAGGGCTGGCAGTCTGCTTCCATAAACACTGTTGTTGTTAGGTACTGTTGGGTAGGCTCTGACTCACAGCAACCCTGTGTACAACAGAACGAAACACTGCCTGGTCTGGTACCAGCCTCACAATCCTTGCTATTCCTGAACCCATCTTTGCAGCCACTGTGTCAATCCATAAAGATTACAGTCAACAAAACCCTATATGGAGTTCAGTTCTACTCTGTAACACATGGGTCGTCATGAGTCAGAATTGACTCAACTGTAGTGGGTTTGGTTTTCTAGTTTTACTCACTTGGGAGAAGCACAAAGATGGAATTGAAACATGGATATGCCACCTCCCCTCCAGGCGGCTCCAGGCTGCCCTATTAACATTTTGAGTCAAGACCCAGGAATAATATGGTAGACCCTGGCCTGGCCAACAGTTCAGATCCCAGCAGGCTGCACCGAGTCTCTCATATGCTGCCCAAGCCCCAAGAGTCAGACTCAGAACACTCCTTCTCAAGACATTTCCTAAGAGCAGGGATAGAAGGGACAACAGAGAGGGTGATATGGCTCACCTCCCTGCACAGCCTGGTAGGCAGGGCAGGTGGTCTCAGCCTCGCTTCCCCGACATGTGCATGCTTCATCCGTACCCAGGAACAGACTGTGGGCCCACGCCTCCTGCTGCTCTGAACCTAACTACATCCTGTGAGGCGGTTCTTAATATCCCCATTTTATAGACCAGGTCATCAAGTCTCAGGAAGATTTGCCTAAGGTTATATAGAGAGACTGAACCCAAGTCTGTCTCCAAATGCCATCCTTTTCCCTCTGAATCTCTCTAGGCTCCCATGAAATCTCCTACAGCCCTCCTTATCAGAGGAGGTTAACCAAAGAGGGGCGGGAGGGGCACCTCACGGGGAGGGGCAGGCCACAGGAAGAGAGGCCCAGTCCCCAGTTCTTCAACCTCAGGTGGAATGTGCCCATAGAGCTGTCTGCAAATGTTCCTAAATACTGCAGTGGACACTTTGCCTTCTCTCATGTCCCCACAAAACCTTGAGAGCCAAGGAAGCCAGTCAGAGGCCCAGAAGATGCCCACAAGGAACAAGAGTAGAGGGCAAAATGAGAAACAAACCCTCAGAGAAAGGAGGAACCCTGGCGACTCAGGAGGATGCGAAACATGCCAACCAAGCACAGCCTTCAGCCCCAAAGGCCACAGATAGAGAGGCTGGGTGGACTATGGCTTGGCCACCAGGCTTCAAAAGAGAGAGACAGACAGACAGAGAAAATGCACAGGAGCTGTTGGCAGCCAATGACCATTTCCCCTTCTAGTAACAGAAATCCCATTTTATTTGGGATGGCAGTAGGCACAGTGTCCCACTGAAAGGCCACCTTTCCCAGTGGTGTGGTTCATGTAACTAAGTTCTGGCCAATGCGATGTCAAGTGGATATATGTAGAATTTCATGGAAGGCTGCTAAAAGAGATTGATTTAGCTGGAAGGTATACTTTTTCCTCCTCCCTCTCCATATTTCTTCCTCTTGTCCCCAACTTGGATAGCAAATGAGAAGACTGGAGCTTCAGCAACAATACTGAATCATGAATCCACACCTGTGGCTTCCAGCCAAACAAAAGACAGGCATATGAGTTGAACATGTACCCAAGGTAGATACACTCCTTGGAGAGAACAATCATGGGAGAAAGAACGGCTGTTTATGCACAGGAAGACAGCTCAGGGGGCAGGAGTGCACAGAGGGATGGACACAGGGAAGAGGTGACTGTCAGGAGAAAGTGGAAGGGGAGCTTTTGCATTGGAGTAAATTGTGGTCAATGTCATGAGACGACATGTTTGTGAACTGCTGTATGGAAAGTGAATTTGCTCTGTAAACTTTCACCCAAATCACAATTTTAAAAAAAAAAGAGAGAATACTGAACCATGAGGTGACCTTGAGGATGGAAGCCACCAGGGCTGAAGACAGCTGAGCAGAAAGTTAGAATCCTGGGTCCCTGATGGAACCATGGAACCACCAACCATACCATCCCTAGGAGTGTCTCTCTCTGGACTTCTTTTACATGAGAGAAAAAAAAAAATTCCTATATTATCTAAGCTACTGTCATTTAATTTTTACGTTCCATGCAGTCAAACCTAAGTATAACTGATCTAGATGGTTTCCTTAACATCTTTGTCTGAGGACTTTCCCTATTGCTTTCACTGTCTCTTCTCAGTCACCTTGGTGGGACCCTCTTTCTCTACCTACCTCTTAAACATCAGTACATTGATGCAATGGAATTCCTTGTACATTCATGCAATGGAATACTGCTCAGGAATAAAAAGGAACAGACTACTTAAGAAGGCAACATCATGAATGAGCTTCACAAACAGTAAAAAGAAGCCAGACCCGAAAGAGAACATCCTGTACGATTCCACATGAAGTTCAAGAACAGACAAATCTCATTTATGGCTAGAAAGGAAAAAAAGTCCATAGTGGCTGCCTCTGGAGATGGGGTGGGGCAGGGATTGACTAGACGGGGCAGGACAAGAACTTTCTGGGTAGTGAAAATGTTCTGTATCTTGACAGGGATTTGGTTACATGGGTGTATGTACTGCTCAAAATGGTAGCTTTAAGATTTGTGCATTTCACTAAATATGAAGCTCTGGTTAATGATATGAAGGAGCTCTTGAGGCATAGTCGTTAAAGCATTTAGCTGCTAACCAAAAAGTCAGTGGTTCAAACCTACCAGTTGCTCCGCAAAAGAAAGATGAGGCAATCTGCTTCTATAAAGAGTTAACAGCTTTGGAAACCCTATAGGGGTCACTATGTGTTGGAATTGACTTGATAGCAGTGAGAGAACGATATACGGAGTCCCTGGATGGCATGAACAGTTATATGTTTGACTACTAACTGGAAGGTTGGCAGTTCAAGGCCACCCACGGCACCTAAAAAGACAGGCCT